GGTTTCAGCGTGCGTTAGCTATAAAACACAGTGTTTTGTAATGTACAGTGAGATGAAGGATAAGAACTGAATTAGATTGTGAAGAATTTTTAATATATCAACTTTTGAATTAATACCTCTTCAGAACTACTGGAAATGATAATTTACATTTTATTAGTTTTTGCAGATGGATGTAATTTGGCAAATTCTGAAACAGTTTGTTAAGCTTTTTAGCAGTCCTAATAAAAAACATCTGAGTCTCTTTAAATGGAAAGCTTCTATTCAATTATTCATTACTTTAAGAGATAAAACAAAACCATTTGTTATTTCCATTTATTTTAGTGGAAAGTCAGTGCCTATTACCTTTAATAATCCTCTTTTTTTTCCCTAGCTAGTTCTTTGTAATGCTATAAATTGTATCATGCAGTTTTTGTAAAATTTATGGAAGATTGTTGCAGCTAAAGAACAAATACAATGAAGATCAATGTTTTTTAATAAGACCTGTGACTGTGACTCCTGAAATCCTAATCACATTCAACCAACTCCTGGCTTCCTAGATGTATTCCAGAATAGCTCATTCTGAAGAAGGAAACTAGACCCAGAACAAGATGTAATGGATTTCCAAGTAAAAAAAAAAAATCACATCAACACTTTATTACTTGTTTTGCAAATCTTCACACAAACAAACAAGTACTACTGTGATTAATTTATTATATTCCCAAGGCCTCATAAATCTACAGGCATTCTGTGACAATATAATAACGAGTTTTGTTTTGAAAGTCGTAGCTAATATTCTAGCTAACAAACTTTCCTTTCCTTAAGGCTGAATGGCAGATTTGTTCCAAACTCTAAGCAAGAGGCAGTGCATTGCTGCACTGCCACCAGCAAAGACCAGGGCTGTGCTTGTGATTTTGGGAACCACTTTCTGCTTTGCCCACCTCGATGATGTGAGGAGGCAGTGATTACACCAGGTCTCTGCCCCTTAAAGGGTGTGTTTCATGGAAGACCAGCCAGCACAGCATGCTGTCCCCTCTTTGCTTTGCACTTCCACACTTCCAAGCTATCAGATGGCCCTAAATTATTATCCTTATTTTAACTGAAAGAAAAAGAAAAACTGTCAGAGATGGATAAGATCCTCTGGTAAATCATGCTGTTCTGGGCACAAGGGAGTTAAAACTGAACAAAAGTTATTCTTCTCTTCACCTTCCTAATTCTGGCCTATGCCTGAAGGTGATCTTTCCTTAGTCCAACTTAAAACAGTCCAAAAATTGCTCAAAATTAGACTAGACTGAAATAGCTCTTCATAGGCTGCTTTCTGGGGAAAGAACTAGCTAGTAAACGCACGATGGCCATAACCTCTCCAGCTTCAGACTCCTTGTCAGCAGATCATCACTGGCATTGGAATAAGAGTGATACCCTGGTTAAAGTTGTTAATGTTGCTGTATGCTAAGGGGCAGGCTGCACTCTCTTCACAGCTCTTCTTTAAATGCATAATAATGCAGTGTTAACATAGAAATAAAAACCTATGTTAAAGTAACATAGTATAAGTTAAATTAAAAACTAAGTTTTCTCATTCCAGAAACAGAGGCAGCTATACCAGAATATTTTTACCACACTTTTGTTAAAATCTCATAGGGTATTACTCTCAGCCCCCTGTGGCTGTAAGCACAATGGGTGGACTGAGCATTCACTCTGCATATGCTGCTTGGCTTTAAGTCAGACTTCTTAACAGTATCTCAGTGGCATTTTCCCCAGGCCAATTCCCTTTGTTGTGTTTTTTTTTGTTTTGTTTTGTTTTGTTTTTTTTTAACGGGAAAAAATATATGTCACTGCAGAACCACATGAGAAACAGTCTTAAAATTGTGACATATCCTTCATCTCAATGGAAATGCCGCCAGTGTTTCTTCTTAATGCAAATATTGTAGGGCTGCATTGAAATGTAACTCTTATAACTAAATGCAAGCAAAAACAGAAAAAATATACTCGCTACGCTAGAGTGAAGTATACTAAACTCCACTGCTTCACTTTGTTAGAAATGACTGATGAAAGAGAAGATCAGCAGATATAAAGCAATAAAAAAGAAGGTGGAAGAAGCTGAGGAGATTGCAGCAGGAGGGAGAAGGCAGTGCTGGGTAGAGGATGCTGAACAGCTGCCTGCCCCAATGCCTTGTATGGAGGGAATAAAGGTGGTTTTAAGACATCTGTCCATTCAAGACCAGTAAAAGAAGAACGATGTATGACACACTTTATTTTCCAAAAAGTTGGGTTAAGCTAACCCACCACAAGCTTTTGCAAATTGCACTGACTGGGATCTTTTTGGTAAAAATTTGGGTTCTACTACTTTGCAGAACTGCCATAAAGAATTATTTTACCTTTAAATCAAATAAATCTGCTAATAACTGGCAATAAATATAACTGACTAGCAAACCCAGTGTGTAATGGTAATAATAAAATCAATAAATTCTATATATTCATATCTATATTTACAGAGACCTTGAATGTGCTCTTGGCTTAAGGCTTGATTATTCCACGCTACTTCTTACAAAGTTTTAATCTTCCATTAATGGTCAGAAGGTTTTTTTTTTTTTTTATGACAATTACATAGTTTTTATGGGTCAAGCAAGAGGCCTTAGGAAAAATGCTGGGATGGAAGGGAGGGGGATGTGCTCTGAATGTCGATGAAGAATTAATTCAGAACTCAGTTCTTCCAGGCTTTTAATGATGTTTTCTTTCTGGAAAGACATTAGAGTTATTTAATTCATGTGACCTCTACGGCATTGAGGACAATGCTTTGATTTTTTTTTCTTTACTATGCTTTCTGGTTTATCTTTTTAATCTATTTAGAGGTCTTTGTTACTTATCAGATGTGATGTTTAAACTCTGCTGTAATTACTGGCTTTTTTTCTTTCTCGCATTTAGTTTATTAATGTTGCTACTCACATCAGATTGTCTAAATATTTTGAGAACTCTTCAGGGATTGATAGAGGGCAATTAATATCAACTGTTGATATTCTCTTTTCTTTTTCCCGTGCTCCCAAGATCTTATCTTTAATCTAGATTAAAGGGATGGGAGAAGGAGAGGAATTCAAGTAATTTGGACCAGGATTTAGAATCTGAATGTCTTCAAAGTTGTGCTCAGCTGTTTTGGTTTAGCCTTCTGCGGTGACAGGGACCATCTGAGGACTTTGGATTTGGATCCAGGTTTGGATTCCTTGGAAATGAGCCTCACACACAGAGGCAAAGATAAACACACAAACGAACACACAAATGTTCAGGCTGGACAGGGCCCACCTCTAGTTGCATATTTATAAAATTAATCTGGTATCATAACAAGGTTAATAGTGGAATAATCATAGACAAAAATAGATGGTCAGAGACAAACTAGGAAACCTCTGAGAAAAAACCTAAACACTACTGCTAGACCCCATTCCCTCTTCTATTAGCCAGTCTGGCACATAAAGCCAGGATTTTAATTTCATGGCATTTTATCTTCTAGAAAACACTGAAATTTAAAATGCTAAAAGATGCTGTCTGTCTCTAATGAGATACAAGATGGCCCCGAATGTGGGCTCAGCAGTTAAAAGGAGTGCACCAGATCCACTGCACTTATTTAGGCACACAAGCTTCAGTGGGACAGAGAGAGTCCCAAACCACTCCAGGACTTGCTTTGCAGCAGATTGAAGTCTTTTCCTAGAAAAATGTGGGCAACACCTGATAAAGCTGATAGGAGCTAGAGAAAGCTCTCTTTGACCTCAAAAGTGTGGGAGGCTAGCAAGGTGCACCTGGTATTGACTAGTGGACAATTATTGACAAAATGACAGCTATGTACATGATCTGGAAATACTTAACCAAGACAGGGAAAACAAATTCCTACAGAATCCGGGGCACACCAGCTGTAATTCCCCTTTCCTCTTTAGTCAACTTTGCATTTCTTCCTTCTTCTTGGCTTCTTCATATTTCACCTTTTCTGTACTTCTAAACTAGTCTATCACTCAGTGTTTGGGGGTGGCGGGATCAAATCCAAATCAGGATCTGAATCTCATGGATCATTTTTGGGCTATCGCTGGACTCCATTCTGTACCAGGGTGGAAGGGCTGGAGCACAGGGTGATGGGCAGAGCCATTGTTCGTGCCGAGGCAGACCTGACACAGCTCTGGCCCCCGCCAGGATTTAGGGGTTCTACATTCTTCCCAAAAGCCCAGATGCATATTCTCCTAACCCAAGACCATCCCCTCATCTTCCTCTCTTTATTTTCCTGTCTTTCACCTCTTTCACCTCAGCTCAGCACCTCATTTTCTCTCCCCTCTGCCAGCTGCTTTTCTGCCTCCCAAACCCACTCCATGCCTCTGTTCCCATCCTCTCTGGTCTGTGGCACCTGCTTGTGGGCAGGCTTGGACCTTGGGACATGCCAGGTAGCTTGCTGTTGCCAACCCCTCTATAAAAGAAGAATAAATTATTGTGGAGTAGGAGCCCACACATAGCTAGTAAGGATAGTGCCATTGGCGTATCATAATTGAAGGACAGAAGAAAGGTTAAACAGGCCAGGTCTGAGGGGCTGCTAGGAAAATAAGATGTTGCTTGGACTGTCTGGGATTAGGGCTGGCCTTGTTCGCATTTGTACTCTGGCTGGTTTCATCTCACCTAACTCCAGGTAGCTGGCCAGGTATCTTAATCAGGAATGTATTCATTGTTAGCTCCCTCTTGAAAGAGAAGGGAAAATCTTTCCAGAGTGTTATTCAGCTCAGCCCTAACTCCCCCCTCAAAATGTCTCCCTTTCTTAACAGACTATTAAGGTAGCCTAGGGCAAATATGCTCCTAATTTAAGTCCCTCAGTTAAACTGGGTGAATTAGACTTTTGCATTCAGCTCATGCCCCACAAACCTTAACTCTACATGCATAAAACTGAGGAAGAATGAGTGCAAAAAGTGTAGACCTGCAGGCAAGAAGTGATGCAGCTGAATCCTGTGTGACACTTCTATTCAGCCAGTAGCATAGCGCATGTCATTGCATGAGCTGGCACCATGCGTTTGCGTGTTGGGACATATGGTAACCAGAGAAGCCACAGCGCTGCTTAGCGCTGCAGGCAAAAAACGTGCCGGTCTTTGTTTTTTACATCCCCAGAGACTCAGCCAGCAAGAAACAAATTTTGAGAGGTCTGAAAGAAACCCACAAAGCTGGGTCAAATAGTGGAACCGGGTCTCCTACTTTCTGAGGAAGATACACAGATGATGACTGCAACTGAACAGTTTGCAACCTAATGGGTTGAGACAAAATCCGGGTAGGAAGAGCCCAGAACGTTGAGATAGTTCCAGCTGTGGATCAGCATTTTGTGGTCCAAACCCAATACCTGGACAGAAAGTAAAAATCTAGACCATGCCTCAGCTGAAGAAAAACATGAACTTGATGGGTTTTTTCTGTCTCGGAGCTGATTGCAAGCATTTAATACCACTGACCATGTGAAACTGCAGTCAGAACAGTGAGCACACAGAAGTATTTTGGCATCCAGGCTATTAAGAAACAATGACCTAGTTCTGATCTCAAGAATATATAGATCAGCGTTAACCCCATTCAATAAAATGGTGTTAGGCTGCTATAAAGGTGGTTTTTGTGAAAAGAAATTCACCTTCTATTATTGGTGACCAAGATTATTCAGTTACCTAAGTTCCTAAGAAAAGTGTCCTACTTTTTAAATACCCATTTAACTTGTAAAAATCCTCTGGCTCTCTCGTTTTCTCCTCCACAGTCAGTTATTTTATTTTACCGATTAGTAAGGGCCCATTTACGGGCTGACAAGTTTGAGTAGGCAATAAATGTGTGGTCCTGAGCACAGGGTTCCTTTGAGAACTGAAGTGCAAGAGTTGAAGAAATTAGCACTTTCTGTGGAAATCTTCAAAATAATAGACTCATAGAAGAATTGACACTGGAAGGGAGCGTGCAACATCACCCAGTTCGAGCACCTGCTCAGAGCAGAACTACTTTCAACGTCAGGTCAGGCTGCTCAATGCCTTGCTCAGTTGAGTTTTGAATGGAGACTCCACGTCCCTTCTGGGCAATCTGTTCCAGTGCTTGCCCAATCCCATTCTGAAAATATTTCCTTAATATCTTCAAGGGATAATTCCCAGAGTAATAGCAGGTGTCCAATTATCCTGAACTGATTCAGAGGTCCAGTGCTTGCTTCCCAAATAAATAAAAAAAAAAAAAAAAATCAAAAATCATGTCTTGCCTAAGCCTGTCCTGGAAGAGATGAAAAAAAGTAACTTTTTTTTTCTGGAAACTTTAAAAATGTGTATTACAGAATTATTATTCTTCCTTTTACCCCTTGAGAAAGTTGTTCTTGGAAGAGCAGCCTCTTCAGAAACTGGTATAGCTGGAAACTCTAGAGATGCCAGAGCAAAATTAAAATAAAAGGGGCAGATAACGGAGCTACTAAGATTTTTGTTTTCTTTGCATAAATCTGTTGCAGAGTAACCTACAGTTTTGTGTTTTACACTCAGCGTTGTGTATTGAAATTAGGACAACAAACATCAAAAGAGACGTCATTGCCATCCATGGTGTGTTGAAATTCTGGGAATATTTACTCAAAACAACTACACTCCTGGCAGTTCATTCTGTTTCAAGGCTGACAAAGTTTCAGTGTCTCAAAAACAGCAAGGAAAATAAATTATTATTTTAACAGGCCCTGGCTGCAGAGCCCTGTGATGAGACCACTTCATTGTCAGGGTCAGTTTAAATCAATTCTGCCATTGATATCTGTTTCCCAAGACTGTTTACAGCAACTATCCTGTTCTTTCCCAATGACTTAAGTGTAACACTGATGTAATGGCCAATACTGTTGTTACATGCCAACAGTTAAACGCAAGCCGTACGAGAATTACCCAGTTGCAAATTTTGCCAAGCAAAGGTACTGAACTTGAAATAGATGGAAAATTTATAATATGTATAATTGCATGTTATCAATACCTACTATTTTTCTGTCATATACTCTGCAAATTTCTTCATTCCACCAGGGGGATTCTAGTTCCCTGGGATTGCTCAGTGAAATTAAGCTGGGGAGCTCCATGGTCATTCCCCGCTCCGGGGAAGGCTAGTGAATTCCCAGCACATCAATGACTGAGGTGTGCAGGTTCTGGGAGAGTTTTGCAGCAGGTGTCAGTGACAAGCACACATCAACGAATACCCATCCAGATTTCTCACCTGCAGACAGAGTGGTGTTATACTTATGTTTCTTCTGCAGAAATACAAATGCTTGACTTAATAATGTGGTCAAAGGATCCGAGTGATTTGTTTTTCCTTAGAACATGTCTCAGTATCACACCCTCCATGAATGCTAACAGGCTAGGGCTCTGTTGGTTGGGACTTTTTTGCTGTCATGCCCTCTTTACAGCTTGACATGTTTTTAAGCTTTAAGATCATGGTGATCTAGTCCGCTTCAGTCTGCATGGCAATGAAATTATATAAACTGGTCTTAAAAAGGATACTTACTAGCATAATTTTATGTATTTTAATCATATTTAAAGTTTCCTCTTGGGATAGCAGTACTGTGAAAACTCTCATACGCTGGGAAATATTTAGTTTAAAAGATTGTTACTCCATTTGAAGTACTTCAGTTCCTACAGAAGGAAGTACAATCTGTTCTTCATAATTTACGTTATTTTCCCCTTTATAATTCTAATAGTTAAAGCTGAGATACCTTCCTCCGCATTTACTAAACTGTAGCAATGTCTCTGAAGCCCCAGTAGTCTGACTTTAACAATAAAACATCTTTGACAGAAGTCAAGACAGAACTGAAGAAATTCCAAGATGAATATGTAGAAACAGTGGTAATGCAAAGTCTTTGAAAGAAAGATATTTTGCTTTTCCATCCCAGGTCTTACTTCTTTAAAGTGTTGCTTTCTTTCATTCATGTGCTGGTAATATATGGCATATCTATATACAGCCCTTTCAAATATTGGTCTTTGAATGTGAGGGCATGAATTTTCTTTCAGAGCTGCCAAAAGCAATGTGCTGTAATTTGCCCTAGCCTCCACCAAAGAGAAGAAGGATCCGTAGTTGGAAGAGGCAAAAAGACAAATCTCTGTTCAGCAACATACAAAGGCAATGCCAAGGTGAAAAGTCTTCACAGCTTGCATGTATAGCTGAAGTGGTACTGTAATTTGCATCAAGCATTACATTTTCTTTATCTCTGCTGGGTCAAAGAGAGTTTTGAAAAGCTAAAACAGGTACACATGAGGTATAAATGATATTGAGACTGGTCAGTAATTACTTGAAGTGAATTCTGGCCCCGTTACCTTCAGTTTCACAATCTCCGAGATCCCAAGAGAGTCTACAAACCAGGATTGTCACATACCAAGAGAGTAAAAAATGGACGACAGCAGAAGTGATTCCCAAACCACAGTTCCTCACGTACACCACATCCCTTGTCACACATATGCTGGATTTACACTACATCCCTTGTCACACATATGCTGGATTGTACAACTAACTCTTTTAACTAACAACTCCTATTCATCTTGCTGCAGAGAAAAAGCATCACTACATTGAGCAACAACTTTTTAAAAAAGAAATCACAAATGGCTCCATTCTTTCTCTGTTCAAATACAAGGGAAAGATCCAAAGCAAAAGCTCTGATCTACTATAGGCTTGTAAGCTACAGGCTCCCATTAACTATATTAATTTATGTGTGGATGAGTGTGTGCATCATTCAATCTTAGTAATAAAAAGGCTAAAACTGGACATGACCAGTTTTACATTGGACTGATGCCGGAGCTGTGTGAAACTGAGATGGGAGTTCAGGAGGAGAGGTCTAAAAAGAGACATTTTCCCTCAGTCCTGAGAAGCATTCCCAAGGTGCTTTTACCAAAGGAAAAGCAGCAACAGAAGCACTGAAGAAAAGAATTATTACCTTGGGGTCACTGGAGGAGGCTGTGTAGCATTTGAGCCCCTATTAGGTTTGTTACAGATCGCATTCTTTTCCCAGGTCTGAGATCTGAGTACCAAGCGCAAAGGAAATTCCATATCAATTTCTACTTTGGAGAGTTTACTTTTACAGGGAAAGCTTTATTCCAGATTAGGTGAGTAATCCATAGGCCCTCACTTAATGGTAGGAGGTTACTTGATATTCTAGGGATTTCTCCTCATAACTTCAAATACCACTTATTTTGTTCAACTAATCACTTGTGATGTTTTAATTTGATAAACCAATCACAGGGTCTAGACTTATTCTCAAAATATAGGACAATTTTACTTCCAAGGAACCACCCCGAGGTCTGCCCACAATCACAGCCTGTGTCTGGGGGTATCAGCACCCTGACCCCAGCTGTATAGGTCAGCTGATGATATGCATAAACAGCAGATGAAATGCACTCAACTTCATTAACTTGCACCTTCATTTCTTTGACAACAGCACGCCCATCTTTATGCACAAATTTTTAAATTGTTTCTTTTTTGAATTTAATATTGAGAGAACAATTACATTCTGGTATTGGACATCTGAAGTTATTCTGAAATCTGGGTTCACTTTTCTGTTCTTAAATTCATGAATGACTAACAAAAGACTTTATCAGTGTGAATTTCTACTTACATATCATTGTTATATTGGCAACCCTTAGTAGACCCATGAGAAGTTTATTTTGGCATAAACCCCACACTGCTGCTGAAATAAACGATCCCACCTCCCACTGCTTGTTCCCACCTGTACCTTCTCTCCTGAGCTGGCATCAATGTCCATGCAGCTGCATGGTGAACCGATACACTTTCTTTGCAAAGTTTTTTTTGGCTGGGGCTAGAGGGCTTTCAGCAGTTACCACATTTGATGGCAAGGCTGGCTACACTAGCTGAAAATGATTATGGAATTAGAAATGATACACATGTACATACCATGGGAACAAATGCTTTTGTTAGCCTTTTAATACAAGGCCAGTAATCATTAGCATCAGGTTGATTGAAGTGTATCTGCTCATTATCAAAAAAGGGGTAATCACTAACAGGTTATCTGCAATACTTTAAGGGTATCATGAATTTTGACA